ATATTAAGGGCTAAAGTAGAAGGCAAATGTTTTGAGAATGATGAGGGCAACAAATGTGCATATGTGCTTGACACAATTGATGGATGTATGGATTGTGATAAGAATTGTACAAGCCCCCAATAAAATAATTTTTTTTTAAATCCAGGGGAGAGCAACACAACATGACCAAGGCAAAGAAAGATACTAGGAGCTATGCAAGAATGAAAAGCAACATCAAGAAGTACTATCGCAAACTGTGATAACAGTTATAACAAGCACTAATTTCCTAGTGGGTGCCAAGGTAGATATGTGAACTAAAAATGGTGTGGGGTGGCATATGGGAATATATTTCTGAGCATATATTGGTTTGGCAAACCATATTTCCATATACATATTTATATGTGCTTCATATATAACCAGATATATAGTACTTATAGAGCGGACAGTGGGCAACGTTGTGCAAATGTCTTAGCCAGAACTGAACACCTTGCAGGACCGAATCACTGGACTTGAGAATGGAAGACCAACTTTGGGGGGACAGTTAAAACAATTAGTATAACGAAGTCCATGAAGGCAATGCTTTACAACCTACTTGGGTGGAGAGTGACAAGGACCTTACAAGCTTGAAAACAGCCATCCATGAGACAACTATTGGTCTCAGAAGAGTAAGGAAATCAAAGATGGCAGGAAGCAATTAATCCAAAGGATGAATGTATCCTATGAACCACTGCCTCTGCTAGCCTGAGACCAGAAGAGCCAAATGGTGCAATAACTGACCACACTAACCAAGATCATAAGAGAAGATTTGCACAGAGTAAGAGGAAAAAATTCAAAATCTGATGAGAGACTGGGGGAAGCCCTGAGACCCATAGCCTCTAGATGATGTTCAACACTGGAACTGAACCCACTCTGGGAGGTCACCCTTCAGCCAATGTGAACAATCACATCTGTGAGGAACATTGTGGTAGTGATACAATCTGTTGTTAATTTGAGAATTAAGAGTGAAGGGGTGGAGTCTAGTCTGTCAATCAGGTCAATGAGGCCTCTATGTGGGCATGACCTTCTCCTGAGGATTCTGGGAACTCCAGCATTCATCCCTGGAGGTGGGAGACACTCCCTCTCCCTGCTCACTCCCTGGAAGACAATGCAGCTGACAAGGCACATGGAACTACACTAGTGCCCTGAGCTGGAGGAGCCACGTGGAGACCCCTGCCAGCACTGAGATGCTTCCACTGCCACTGGATCCTCAAGACTTCCCACTCACTGGCCTGTGATCTTCCTGAATTTGGTGTCATTACATGTGTTTTGTGAGTCTGAAGAGGACTTTACAGATTGGTATTGAACATATGGACTAATATTACACTTATGGACTTGATCTGGACTTGGCAGGGATGTTTTCTCAATATTCAACTGCTCTTGTAGGTAAAGCTCTTTCTTATCCATATTCGAGTATCTATGAATTTGTTTCTCTAGTCTATCCAGACTAACACAAACATGCTCCTTGGAAGAATCCACCAGCAGAGACCAAAACGGCAGTTTACCCAAAAAGAAAGTCCAGACGTCAGGAAGGGATGGAAATCGGGACCCAAGGAAGAAGTGAGCAGAGTGCTATGTAGTTCCACTGGCATGACGGAAGTTAATGCCAATCAAATGAGTATGCATTGTTGAATGTGGATTATTTTGCCATGTGAAATATTAGCCAAACCAGAATAAAATGGTTTTTGTGTTGTTTGTTTAAGGAGTCTCAGCTCTAGACCATGAAAACAAAATAAAAACTCAACTGCAAACGAGTTTCCCAGTAAGACTGATTACTCTTTGGGTAAATTTGGAAACGGGACCAGGGACTAAGACTTGGAAAAGGTAGAGATCAATTTGTGTGTCAAAAAGATTTTCGTTACCCACATCATCTCATTCTTCGTTGTTTTTAGTAGATTAGAAGCTATTTTACAGAAGGCAAAGGACTGATTTCCCTTCAGAGATGTGCATTCTCACAGTGCTCAAGGCTGCCTGAGATTGAAACTGCTTCACTTCATCTCCACTTGGAGGAAGACAGCCTTGCCTCTGGGGACTGCATCATCGGCCTCGTTGGTCCCAAGGTCTCCCACCTTCTGCTCCCTTAAGTGGTGAGCCCCTTCTCTAATGAGGCCTCCTTCCTCTTGAGAATTTCTAACCCTCCACCCACAACAGAATGGAAACTGAGTCAATATTCTTATATTCTGACTCAAAAAAATCTAATCATGACAACATTTAAGACTTGCATTTTAAGTCTTTGTGGATTAGCATGGAATTTTTTGTCCCAACGAATTTCAAACATTTGACAAGAGCTTGTTTGTTTTTTAAATATGTCTTTTCTTGTTCTGATCATCTTATTGGGTGCTTTTTGGACAGATTGAAGAAATAGAGATTTGCTCTCCCCTCTGTTTTTCTCAGCCTTCCTGTCTATCTTCTGCTCCTCTCTCCTTCTTCCATCCCCCAGCCTCACCAGTCATCTAGGCCCTGAGTTTCAGCTGCCCTGCGGAGGCCTTAAGAAATAGGCAGTAACGGGAAAACTAGAACGAACCCCCCAAACAATCACACAAAGATACCCTTTCAGCCTGGAATTGTACCATTCCCCCGAGTTCTTGGATCTGCTTATACATATCACCCGTGAGAACCATGTGGGTCAGGCATTGGCTGACTCACCACAAAGTGGTTGAAACCTACCAGCCTCTTTGTGGACGGAGGATGAGACCGCGTGTTCCTGTAAAGATGTCCAGTCTCAGAAACCAGACATAGGGTTGCTATCGATCAGAATCAATTTGCTAGCATTGGGTTTGGTTTTCACTGGGTGAGTAGCATGTTCCCTTAAACAAACAATGGTTCAGGATGGAATGGTCGTGCTCAAAAGCAAAGTGAGGAGGCACAGAGGGGAAGGGATGTTAAATAAATGGAAACTGAACAAGCAGAATGAAAATAAGGAGCATGCTGATACATTGTGACCATGGTAACCAATGTCTCAGAACAATCTGTGCACAAACTGTTAAGCGGGAACCCAATTTACTACGTAAACTTTCATGTCAACCCTTTGGGGCAGTTCTACTGCGTCGCAGCGGGTCCTCGTGAGTTAGAATGGACTCAGTGTCACCAAGCAGCAGTAATTCATTTTATTAGCTGTCTATTGTTCCTATTATAATGAGGCAATAATAAAAACTTGCAACGGCACTCTTTCATAATGAAGCAATAAGCTATTTTATCTCCCAAACAATGACTTTGTATTTTTCATACCAAATAAAATAATGCATTAGAAAAACAAGCTCTAATTTTTCTAAGAGCCCTTAAATAGGGAAGAGGGCTGAAATTGCATGGAACTTCAATGATCTAGGTAATATACTTCTGTAAGGTTAAATAATGTAAAATTAACCAATATTTTCTATAATTTAGAAGTGAAAGTGGTTAAATTAAAAGTAGATATTGCTAGTGAAAATAAGATCATATTTTTGGAATGTACAGATTAGACTCAGCTACCTGAAATTTCCAGGTACACTTGCATTTCGGAGGATAATAACTCGGATAATATGGACTTGAGATTTTCCCTTCAAAGCCATTGATTTCTTTGACCAACACTGTGTTTCCACATTCTGAAAAAAAAGTATCCCATAGCATACAGTTATTCGAAGTTGTGAGGTCATGGCAGATATACTACAAAAACATCTTCAGCTACAAACAGAACACTTCCTGGAACAAAATGCTTATCTATATTTTAAACTTTGAACTAATTTCTTTTAAAGAAAAAATTAGGATTGCCTGTGTCCATCCAGTATCAGTTGGAGTCTTATCCCTTGTACCTGTAAGCAGGATCCTGTTCAGAGACAGCATTTGGTTTTGTTAGATTAATGAGGTCATGTAAGGGGTGTCAAGAAATGGAAGAGACTACAGACAAGGAAGGACCTTCTACTACAGCCAATGCCCTGGTTTAGACTTCTACCCTCTAAAACTGTGAGACAAGAAATGCTTGTCCTTTAAAGTCACTCATTTGTATATATATTTTTTCACAACTGCCCGTGGTAATTATATAATCGTTTGTCAATTTGAGAAGATTAAAAGTGAAGGGGTGGAGTCTAGCCTGTCAATTGGGTCATAGCCAATGAGGCCTCTGTGTGGACCTGGCTTTCTCCTGAGGATTCTGGGAACCCTTGTATTCCTCCTTGGAGGTGGAAGATTCTCTCTCTCTCTCTCTCTTTCTAAAGGCTCACTCCCTGGGAGACATTGCAGCTGACAAAACACATGAACTATACTAGTGCTCTGTGCTGGAGGAGCCATGTGGAGATCCCGGCCAGCACTTAGATGCTTACACTGCCACTGGATCCACAAGACTTCCCACCCACTGGCCTGTGATCTTCCTACATTCGGCATCATTGCATGAGTTTCGTGAGTCTGAAGAGGACTTTATAGATTGGTATCGAACATATGGGCTAATATAGGGCTTATGAACTTGATCTGGACTTGGCTAGGATGTTTTCTCAATATTTACTTGCTCTTGTATATAAAGTTCTTTCTTATACACATATGAGTGTCTATGAATTTGTTTCTCTAGTCTACCCAGACTAACACACTGCGCTAGGTAATTAAGACAAGCGCCCTACAGAAATATGGTTAAAAGACATGTTCTCAAATTCTAGATCTGTTTGCAAATGAGATATCTTGGCTATCTATATGTAGAGGAAATTATTCCTTTATTTTTAAAAGTTTGAATTTTATTTATTTGTTCAAATAAGTGTATAGTTGTTGTTAAAGGACTGTGCCAGTATATGTAGCATGCTCTTCTATTAAAAAGAAAAAAGGAGAGAGAAATAGTCTACCCTACACAGTAAAAGCTTCTTAGGTTAAACTATGGGTTACCACCCCATGGAGGTCATGAAACTGAATGAGGGATCATGAAAAAGTTGACAGCAGTAAAATGTTTCTGAAATACGCAACACCAAAAATTCACTCAAAGACACACTGGTAATGAATCCGGAGTGTTAGTGGCAGCATTGGCTGTGTTGCCAAGTTCTCAGGTGAAAAGAGGCCATGAATAAGTTGAAGAACCCCTAATCTAATCCTATCAGACTGTGAAGTCTTTGCGAAGAATATCGGTTTTGTTTCCCCAACTGCTGCTCCTGGTTCCCCAGCACCTAAGATCATTTCTGCTCAAGAAATGCTCGTTGACTGAATAGACACATCTACTACATTATGTCCGGGAGTCATATTTTAAGCTTTGATTTGAAGATGATTTGCTATTTTGCTGCATCGCTGCTATCTAGTTCAATTTCTGTTAAATAATCAGACATTTGGTTTTCTCATAATGTGAAGGGGAAAAGCTATGAAAATAAACCACTGCCCCCCAATGTAGAAGAGCCTACAACTCTCACCATCGACTTAAACCAGATTCTCTTTCCACCTCACTCCATCTCCCATTCTGACTTCTCTGGTTATGATGGGGCTCAGTAAGCAATTCGTAAGACATGGCCTATACAATCTGATCAATCGCAAGGCAGCAAAATTTACAAAAAAAAGATGACCTCCCATGAAGCTCTCTGTTTCGTTTTGTGTTGTGTTGTCTTAATTTCATCAAGGCAAGGCCAAAAGAGATGACTATAAGGAAAGATGCCCTTGGTTCTCTATCTGACTTAGGGTGGGTGAGGGGTACCTTTAAGCCTCTGGAATGTGCTTATTCTCTCTTTGTAACTATATTCCAGAAAACTTTTGAAAAGCACAGGGCTGAAGACTAGTGCTTTCACTAGTTTCACCAAGACCTCTCTAGGGTAGACTTCTCATGCTTCACTATAAATGTGAATTCACGGAAGACAGAAAGTCTAGCGTGCCATATGTAGTGAGCTCCAAGCCCCAACATTCTCTACTCTTCTGTGATACTGCAAACCACCTCTCAGTTGACCACCTGGCTTCCTGTTAGAATCTGCCAATAGAGGGCGCTAAAGGGGGCCGGAAGGCGGTAGAGAAGGGAGAACCACTTCCTGTCCTTTTCCTAACCCTGTGATTCTCAAGCCAGCTAGCCTTCACCTTGCACCAACACTTCTCTCCCGTAACAGACAAGAATCCCATGAGCATTGTTCATCGTTCACTTTATTTCATCTCCTTTAAAGATAGCAGAGTCCTTGGGTGGCCCAAACAGTTAACAAGCTGGACTATTAATGAAGAGGTTGGTGGTACACCCAGAAGTGCCTGGAAATCTACTTCACCCCCAAAAATCTGTTTGTTCTACTATTAACAGTTGTTTACCTTAGATTCTCTCTGTGGAAACTACTGATCTGAGCTCTCCTAAGTGGATCCTGAGTCAGAGCCTCTGACTAATATCACTAATATAAACTAACCACTAATATCAGATAAAACTAGAGCAGCATGACAAATATTCCTGAGGGTGGCTTTTTGACATTGTGGAACACTTACTTTGTTCTGGAATGACCTCAAAATATGCGCGGATTCCTGATAACCTCCGTATATAAGGAGATTGAAGGCTCACCAACATGAGATTGTTCGTGGAAACAAATGACATTAACGCTCTGGTGGGTTCACAGATTCTGAAACCAGAGAACAGGAGAACAGTACATCAATAGCAGGTGGTTTGAAGCATGGACCTCCATTGGACACTCATTCCTCAGCATCAAGAGTTCGTGGGAACCAGACATTACCAGCAGGACCGCTCTAGTGATGGTCACAGGGCACAAGAGATAGAGGGGACTGTGCAACGCCCAGGAGTTTTCGTCCCGTAACGACCATTCAAGGGTGTTCCTGGATGGCCATCATTGGCCCTCCTTGAGAACAAAAGTGGAGAAAGGTAGGGTATTTAGTGACTACGGCTAGGGACTCCGGGCTTAGCGGAGCTGGTTCAAAACTCTGCTGCATCATGAACTGCATGAAGGCACAAGGTAATCAATGAACAAAGGCCACTCACACAGCAGACTCCTCATGTCATTGTCGGAGCCCTGGTGGTACAGTTGTCAAATGCTCCACTGCTCACCAAAAGGTCAGTGGGTGGTTCAAGCCCTCTAACGACTCTATTGGGAGGGAGGGGGCTGGTCTGCTTCCATGGAGAGTACAGACTGGGAGCAGTAGTGCACATTTAACAGGGTCGCTAACAGTGGGACTGGCCCAACAGCAATGGGTTTCATGAACTGTGGGAAAGAAAATAGCGATTATAATTAAGTATGCCCGGAAGGATGAAGAGAAACGGGTCACAGTGGTTGAGGAATTAAGATTCAGAGACAAACCGACTCTTCATGGTTTGAATGTCTACCTTGCACATCCATCACCAAAGCATAAATAAAGACGAGCCTGCATAAAACACGATTACAATAGTTCAATAGCACATGTAGCTGTTTTAGCACACTAAGGAACCAATCATGAAGACTTGATCCACTCTGTGATTTATTTGGTCATCGGAACACATAAAATGATGCTTACGGCTTATTAAATAGAAAGTATTCATGTATGCATATGTGCGTGTATCGTATGTGTGATTGCAAATATATATGGATGAAATATTTATGACAAAATGTTCTAGGCAGTGGGAAACTAATTAAAAATGTTTTCTCTGAATGATCCCACTTTCTACAATGGATATGAGTACAACCTGCACAATAAGAAAACATTTGAATCATTTATCAGTGCTGTGTAATCATCATCATAGACTATACCTCACTTGTTGACTGCTTGTTATCTGACATTTCACATTTACAACAATAGCAAAATGGCATTTGATGATTTCGTACATTAACGAGGTATGGTCAGCAGTGAAAACAGAGATGTGACGTGGAAGTAATGCTAGCTGTGCTGGTGTAAGGTATGTGTCAACTTGGCTGGTCACAATTCTCACTGGTTTGGAAATTATATAGTGATATAATTTGAGAGATGTGTGGTGATGTAATTGGAAATTATGTATGATGTACTCATCCTCATTTTGTTATCTGATGGAGACATCCTCCATTTTTGCATAAAGCTAACTTTTGCACAATAGTCTGGTCTTTGGAGCCTAACCATGTCGATAAGTGCGGAATGGGTGCGTTTATTCTCAGACTCTATTGTGACCTTGACTTTATTGTAATTAGAAAATGTAAAATCAAACAGAAACTGGTTACTGTTCAGAAATATTGGTTCTTGCTGCACTGATTTTGTCAGCTACAAATTTAAAACAAACTTTAGACTCTTCCAAATCCACTGGCATTGAATTGAGTCTGACTCACAGGGACCCTAGATGACTAATACAAGGCATACTAAGGAGGATAAAGGTCAGTCTTTGACCTTGTGATGGTGTGTCAAGCCAGAAACCAAACTCACTGCCATTGAGTCGATTGTGACCCACGTCAACGTGAGAGGACAAGGTAGAACCGCACCTGTGGGTTTGCGGACCGTAACCTTTTACAGGAGAAAGCCTCATCTTTCTCATGCTGAGCGGTTGCTGGTTTTGAACTGATGACCTTGAGGTTAGCAACTCAATACATAACCACTGCACCACCAGGGCTCCCATGATTGTGCACGGCAATGATTGAAAGGGGAAAATCTCAGGGGATCCAGATATTGCAGAAACGAGACTGGAGAAACCATTTCCCCGCACCAAGAAAATGGTGTGTGTCATCCGTACCTGTACAAGGTTGTGCTCCGGATTGGCAAGAGCGAGTCGTAAAGGGTCAAAGAGTCGGTGACACAGTTGTCCGCTTCAATCTGGATGGACTCAATGGAGAGGCGAATCAGGTAGCCCACGGTGGCCACCAGCTTAAACTGGCACATCAGCCTCCCCGAGGTTGCTGAAATCTCCAGAGGGTACTGGACCGACGGATGATCAGCATACAAGTCCCGAGAACAGCCTTTCTCTGCTGGGACAGAATTTTTGTAAGAGTGAATTCTCTAGAAATCTTGATCGAAATGAACAGAAGAGGTCATCTGGGAGACGTCTGCACCTTTGCTAGCCTAGACTCCACACTACCCTCTCCTATAACAATCACTCGGTTTTACTTAGGGAAACCCTCCTCTCCTGCCCTACTCTGCTGTTCCTGGTGTGATTAGTGTGCAGTTCACCTCTGCTTTCAGAGGTGTGGTAGTTACATAATCTGGTGTCAACTTGAGACTATTAAGAGTGAAGGGATGGAGTTCAGCCTGTCAATCAGGTCGCTGTTTGATGACCTCATTTGGAGGCGTGACAGAGATAAGGAGCTCACTGGAGGCCAGACCCACTCTCTCTACTACATATTCCTGTTGACCAGCCACATGGAGCTACATGGAAGGAGCCAGAGCCCTGAAACTGAAGAAGCCATGTGGAGACCCCTGCCGGTGCTGAGATGCTTCCACCATCAATGAATCCACAAGTCTTTCCACCCACTGGCCTGTGATCTTCTTGCATTCTGTGTCATAGCATGTGTTGCAATGAGTCTGAAGAGGAGTTTATGGACTAGTACTGACATATGGGGTAATATCAGACGTATGGACTTGATCTGGACTGGGCTGGGATGTTTTCTTAATGTATGATTGCTCTTTGATATAAAGTTCTCTCTTACACGCACGTATGTGTTTATGCATTTGTTTCTCTAGTCAACCCAGACTGACACCGATGTGGACACATGACCCCAATTTGCCCATTAAAAACTCAGATATTGATTCAGGAATGGGCATGCACCAACCTGGGCACAGTGAGAGTCATCCCTAGGACTTCTGCGGGGACTCAGTAATATGAGTATTGTCTTGTTGATTCCCCCCCCCCACCCGCACACACACACACCACACCACCACCACCATTGCTAAACTGATAAGATTATATTCTCGGACCTTCTGGTGACCAGCCTGGTCACCGCGTTAGAAGGACACTCTTGATAATGAGTTCACCACAGAGTAAAGAAGGAAAGAGGAAACCATTTCTTGGCTGAGAAGTGAAGATGCAGTGCCCTGATGTGTTATTTTTAGGTGCTGGACTCTACTGTGCCTGCAGCCACACATGCAGATAAGTCCTGGTCACACGAGCCAGTCAAGCTTCTTGTGTGTCCTTAAGTCAGTGTGAATTTGTTTCTGTCCCTCACAGCAGAAAGAACAGTAATGAAGGACATCACAGTTTTAAAATAAAATAAACGCTAAAAAACGATAGCCCTTACAGGGGGGAACAGTAGGAAATCAATTACCAGATCCGATGGTTGAAGAGTAATCTGACCGAAGCCCGGCTGGTGGGAAAAGCACATGAGAGAGTCCGTTAGGGGCACCATTTCATTCCACTAGCATCTTACATAGTGGAGATCATTTTAAGTCCTCCTTTAGATGCAATCAGATACGTCTGGGACTTGCTTCCAAATATCCCAACAAGGATAGATAAAATATGAGTGGATCATTATGAAAGGTAATGAATGAGCCTCCAGGAACTTATTTTATTCTTCTCTTGACCTTGGTGTATACTTGAAATCATTTGTAGCAAAAGAAGTTTGCATTCTTGATTTTTAAAGGGGGGGAAAAACAAACAAATATGATAATAATAATTTTATAAAACAGCAAACTCACTGCCATTGAGTTGATTCCAACTCATACTGACCCTGTAGGACAAGATGAACTGCGGCCCCCGCCCCCATCCCACCCCGTGGAGTTCTGAGACTGTAACTCTTTCCAGGAGTGGAAAGCCTCCTCTTTTCCTGAATATGACGATAACAAGCTCTATATCTGAAATGGCAAATTGGGTGCACAATTTTACACTAGAATTTTTCATTCACGATCACTATGATAGGACTGAGGAGCCCTGGTGGTGTCATGAGTTAAGAGCTGCTAACTGGGAGGTCCGAGTTTGAAACCACCCAGCAGCTCCTTGGGAGAAAGATGAGGCTTTCTACTCTCGTAAATAGTTACAGTCACACACACACAAAAATAGTTAGTCTCAGAAACCCACGGGGCAATATTACTCTGTCCCACAGGGCCACTAGGAGTTGAAGCCAATGGCAATGAGTGATGATCATATTAGTTCCTATATGATTTAAGTCAAAAGAGGATATAAAACAAAATCCAACTCATAGTAACCCTCTTAAGAAAAAAAAGAGGGTAGAAAGCTGTATAAATTTCGGGCTATCCAGTAATTAACCTCAGGTCCCATCAAAACAAAGGTTGTGACAAGCTGTTTTTTGGGGAGGTGGGGGTGGCTGGCTGCTAGGGAGCAGTAAGCAACACTACATGGTAAAGCTGCAGTTCTGTCTTAATGAGAGAAGAAATAAACTACACCTCAGCAAGCCCCTCCTTCGCCAGGGGGCTAGAACTCTGTTCTTGGGACACTCGTCAAGAGGCAAAGCAACTCAGGGAAATTTAGGGAAAGGAACACTTTAATGGATTCAGCATGTTACATGTTATGGTTCCTCTCCAAGCACTGCATATAAAACAGAGGAGCTCTAGTGGCTCATTGAGTTACACATTGGGCTGTTAACCACAAGGTCCTTGGTTCAAACCCACCAGCTGCTCCTTGGGAGAAAGATACGAGCCTTTGCGCCCATAAGGATTTGCAGCCTTGGAAACCAAGAGGGGCAGTTCTCCTCTGGCCTATGGAGTCACTATGGGTCAGAGTCAAGTCCATGGCGGTGAAGGCTTTTTTAAGAGTGAGTATCCAGCTGGGACTATGGGAGATGTTTCATTACATTGTTTCCGACAGTAACTGCAAGTAGCAGGAATGCTGCAGGAGGGGATGCTAACTAAAGGGAGCAAGAGGCCACCGTCACCATTGAGCACCACAGAGTCCATGTCCACAGCCAGCCCCTGCAAGCTCCCCACGGAGGTCCTGTTGACGACGCTGGTCTGGATGGAGTCCTTCAGGATGGCGGCCACACAGTCCTCACAGAAGATGTGGCCCTTGGCTTGTGGCATGACAAACACGATCCAAAAGTGGACCAGGAGGCCGCCCTTGTTGTTGCTACTGCAGTGAGAAGGGAAGAAAGGGGAGATGGAAGGAGCGACCATAGGCTGTAGACTTTCACAGGGAGCCAACTGGCCGATCCAAGAGGTAAGGCCATTGAGTGCACCCTTCAATTGGGCCTACGACCTTCCTTAGAAATGCCCTGTATGGGTGCATCGGTAGGAAGGATATGCTAATTTGTAGCTATCAGTCGGTACTATAGTTCTAAACACCAACGGTGACTATTGGCAAGACCGCCTATTCAGGCACTGTGCTACATCTCTCTTATCCCATTTGCTCTTCTGAAGAATCAAACAGTTGCTTTCGGGTCAATTCTGACTTGTGGCAACCCCAGGAAGTGTCCGAGTAGCACCGTCCTCCACAAGGTTCTTGATGACTTTTTATTTTCCCACTTAGACATGTTGTCAGGAGAGACCAGACCCTGGGAAAGGGCATCCTGCTTGCTAAAGTAACAAGGCAGCAAAAAAAAAAAAGGGGAAGCCCTTTGACAAGTTGGATTGGCACAGTGGCTGCAACAATGGGCACCAACAGAAGAACAATTGTGAGGACGGCGCAGGAGCGGACAGTCGTTCGTTCTGGGGTCGCTAGGTGTCAGCATTGACCTGATGGCCCCTAACAACGACCCAACCACTTTCTAGCGAGGCCTTTCTTCCGCGGAGCCTCTGCGTGGGCTCAAACGCCCAACCTGTCAGTTAGCAGCTCTGGACGTTTGCCAGATGCACCACCCAGGCCCGCCTGCAGGGAGAGGTCGCTGTTACCATGACTCCATGTGACAGATGAGGAAACTGGAGCCCAACACAACTCTGAATCACGCAGAGCAAGTAGCCAGCTGAGATTCAAACCCCACGTGGTTTTCAGTCTCATTCCAGAGCTTGAGTTCCCTACCACAAGCAATACTGAGGCATGTAATGAAAGCCAAACACAGGTGGTGTTCTGGAGTAAATAATTCTGGAAATGGAAGATTAAGGAAAGCAAGCAAGTTACTTGACGCCAAGATTCCCCAGTGGCTTTGCAATGTCAAAGTGGGTTGAGGATCCCTGGAGATATGTGGGAGGATGGAAAGTGGCACACAATATGCAATGCACAATTTTTCTAAAAAAACGATTGACCCTGAGATCCTTTCTTCCCAGAAGATCTCGATTGCTCCCCTAGCAACCCCACCCAGCATGGCAGCCAGTTACGGCCATGTTGCCCAACAGTGTTCAGACCGGGTACCAAGCTCCAGGACAGAGAGAGAGCAGGGATTTGGGAAGGGGAGGAGCAAACCTCCAGGTGCCAGGAAGGCAGAGTTTTGGGGCAAGAGTTGCATTTGTAGGGCATGACACTGCGCCTGGCCCGAAGACGTTCCTTGGGGATGTGGAACCTCTGCCCTTCCACAGCCTCCGGAGGAACCGACAGCAGAGATCGAAGACTCTCCAAAGCAAGGGACGGAAATTACCTGACATCTGCAACCACAGACTGCTTGTAAAATTTGGAGATGGCGGATGTAGTGTAAACAAAGTTTACCTGGAGGGGAGGGAACAAAAACAAAAAGGAGACGCTTGGCCTCTTCCGAAGGCCATGGCTCTCACAGTACTGTGCACTCGTGGGAGCAAACGCTGACCACGAGCGAGCGAGCGAGCGAGCGAGGAGAAGAGCGAAGGCTCACACACGGCCCCCCGACTCCGGCCCAGGCGTGATTTCCTAAATTCAAGTGGCTCTCTTAGTTGCATTCTGCCTTCTCTGGAGAAGAGCCCGGTGTGTAGATGATGTTAGGGGAAACTACTTTATGGTGCACACTTTCACCTAAAACATAAATGTAAAAAAAAAAAGGCGGGGGTGGGGGGGTGGGGAGTGCAGGGAGGCCTAGGTGTTAAGAAAGAATGCAGAGGGCAGGGATGGTGAGACCAGCTGTGGGCACCTCTGCCCCCTGTGGCTAATTTCAGAATGGGTCCTTAAGAATATGAAGAGAAAAAAAATTAAAATTGGAATACTCATTGGATGGAGTGTTGATATACAAAGGTTAGTCAAAACGTGTTACTATAAAATCATAGAAAACTTTATTAAGCAAAAATACCAAAAATGTGAAGAAAATAATATAAAGAGAGAATGATATAGATCCAACTCTCCACACTTGTGTATATGTATATGTGTGTGTGTGCGTGTGTATATACGTATCTATATGTGTGTGCGTATATATATGTATATAGATATTCTTAGTTGATAGATCCAACTCTCCTTGTGTATTCTTCTGATTTTCTCCATGATTAATAACCCTATCTCCGTGTGTGTGTGTGTGTGTGTGTGTGTGTGTGTGTGTGTGTTTCTAGTCTTAAGGACACATTCCTAAATTAGCCACTAGGGGGCAGGAGGTGCTCACGCTGGTACCGCCATCCCCTCCCTTGGAAGCCCCAAGTCCCTTTTTTTTCTTCCTTTTTTCAAACAGTTGTGTTTGAGGTGAAGGTTTACACAGCAAAGTAGTCTCCCTCTAAATAGTCCACACACCAACTGCTCTGTGACATTGGCTGCTATCTCTGCCTTTGTCAGCCACACGCTCATTCTTTCCACCTTCCTTCCAGGTTCGTTTCCTGGCCCCTCCTTGACTTCTAGAACATTTTGTTTGTTTTTTTGTTTGTTTGTTTGTTTTGGAGGGGGGAAATGTGGCTGGTTTGGTCTTCTATAGTTGATTCCTCTGAAAAGCCTATTCCTCACGGGTGTTATTGCTTACTTCATAGGCCAATCTAATACCTGGCTGAAGTGACCTCCCGGAATGGTTGCAGTTCCAGCTTACACGTGTGTCCAAGGGTGATGGTCTCAGGGCTTCCCAGCCTGGCATTCCAGTCAATCTGGTGCTTGTTATCCACCTGAGTTTTAGTCTTCGGGTTCCTCCCATTCTAGAGGAGCTCTTCCCCTGGTGTCACTGGGCAGCCCGTTGGGGGCAGCTTACCAGCACCTGGGACCCATCGAGTTCCTCTGCTGGCTGACTAGTGGAAGGCAGTCCTTCAGGTGGGTCTTCAGTCTTGTGGGCTAATTGCTTCTTTGAGTCTTTTATTTCTTCGCTCTCCTAGCACCCAGCACTTCGAAACCCCCTTAATCTTATCACAAAGGGGAGCTTTTTCCACCAGTCTACCCCATGGAGCCTTACTTAACATTTTGAGCTCAAATTTCACTTTTCTCCCTAATCTTCTCTGCCTGCATTCCCCTTCTTACATAACAGCAAAGCCGCCCACCTAATTGCTGTGCTCTGTGGTTTCCTATGTTTGTTGTGGCTTCTTGGTGTTGTTTTAATCTGTAAAGTGGTGATCAAGCTAAAATACCTCTCTCTTGGGATAGTCTGAGGAGGACGACATAACTTCACGGTTGCTACATGCACGATATGTGGTAGGCATTCGGTTCAGAAAGGCTACTCTGACCACTTTTGTGGGTGACTTCTTGCTCCTCCATAAAAACTCTTCATTTCTGAGTCTACACGAGTGCTTGTCACCTCATTATGGTCCCCACTGGGAGGTAACCCCATCTGTCATGTGGAGACAAATGGGCATAAGTTTTCTGGTTGGTAATATATACCAAGAGCCATGGATAGACATGGCTGACCAAGTCGTTCTACTTTTCAGAAAGTACCTAGAGACGTCTTAGGGAATACATCAATTTATGTGACAGCTTTATGGCAGCAAAAGTCAGAAATGACCTAAACATGCAGGAAAAAGAGGCTTTCTAATGATGGTGTGGCCACTGAAGTTGATGATTTTGCACAAAAGCACAATATCATGTTAAGAGGAAGCAATAATATTAGAAAAGAGAAGATGCATTAACATTCCGTCTTTCCACTATCCTCTGTTGCTGCGGCCCTGACCAAAAAGGAGTTCTTTCTCTGGTGATGGAATTAAAGACTTTAATGTTTCTCTTACCATTTTCTGAATTTCATAAATTTTATACTAAATACATATTACTTCAATGAATAGAAATGTTTTTTAAATGAAGAGATTGCCAAGATTTCAAGGCTAAATGAATGTGTCATGATTACAGATTGAATTCATGATCATGTAATTCCAGAGCTAAAAGATCTCTTGAAGAGCCCTAACCCAATTCCTTTCTTTTACGGATGAAACCACAAAATATAAGCAACAGCCAAAATCCCTGAAGCCCGGAGAGTTGTTTCTTTTTATGTTGAACAGGAAAAGAAGTAAGTGACGTCTATCAAATAAAATATCCTGTCTTACAGCAAAGGCGAGCTACATCAAACACTCCACTCTGGCTGGGTCCACCCAGCTAGCCTCTCACCTCTCTCATGCCCATGCCCTTGTGGCCCTTGTGCCCTCCTGCCCCAGCCCCACATCCAAAGTACCCCCGGCCCTACCGGTCACCTCACCACTTGCTGCACAGTCCGGGACACTGAGAGAAATTCCCTGGACTCCTTCTGTCGATGTTCCGGGAGAAACTCGATGTTGGTGACCCGGAACATCCCCACAAAGTAAAAGGCGTCCTTGCTTTCTGTCTTACCTGTAAGACAAGAGAGAGGGAAATAAGGAGGCTTTCCAGCTTTCATTTGGGGCAGCGAAGTCACCCACCAGTTCAGAGCGTGTGAAGCCAGTGGTTCTCCACCTTCCGAATGCCGCAACCCTTTCATACAGTTCCTCCTGTTGTGGTGAGCCCCCTACTATACAATTATATGCGTTGCTACTTCATCACTGTAAATTTGCTACTGCTATGAATCGGGAGACCCCTGTGAAAGAGTCGTTCGACCCACAGGTTGAGAACCACTGCTCTAACTGAAAACCTACTGCTATCAAGCTGATTCCGACTCCGAACAGCGCGGTAGAGCTGAGCAGAACTGCTTCATAGGATCCCCGGGGCTGTAAATCTCACTGCCATATCCTCCTCCCAAGGAGCAACTGGGGGGTTTGAATCAACAACCTTTTGGTTAGCAGCCGAGCACGCCACGGCGCCACCCCTGCACCTTCTGGGAAGTTCCACCTTAATAGTTAATAGTATCGTCCCCAGGAGCAGTAAATCAGTGTATCTCGGAACACGATTCTTTCTATCTTTTTCTGGCAAATACTCCAGAGCAAGATTAAAAGGGAAAAGATACTCTACTTTGTCTAGATGTGCTCGAGGTGCGGGAGCTAAGATAAAAACCAACGCTAAATTCAAGGCCGTCAAAGCAACTGACTCATAGCAACCCTGTATGACAGGGTAGAACTGCCCCTGTGCGTTCTGAACCCGTGACTCTTAATAAGAGTAGAAAGTCTTCTCTCTCTTTCTCTCTCTCTCTCTCTCTCTCTCTCTCTCTCTGAGCAGCTGGTGGTTTTGAACTGCTGACCTTGCAATTAGCAGCCCCATGGGTAACCACTATCCCACCAGGGCTCCCAAGCCAAGAAGGGTACAGGCTATCTTACTGTATCTCAAGTCCATGGCAGGCAAGAAGATAGACATGTGTCCAATCTAGAAGAGTGGGAAGGGCCCTGCTGACCTTCCCTGTGACCCTGGGGCTTTGTCCTCTAGAGGATCGGTGTGGGTGATGCCGGGCCATCGGTGCAGTGGGTGCACTGGTAGGCACCCTTCCAGTGAGTCAGCAAGTGTGGCCCTCCGCCCAGTGTTAGGTCACCCCTGCTCACGCTCGCTCTCCAGTGAGCGCCACCATGGGACCACTGGGCACCAAGCCTGCCTTGCAGAAATGACAAGGACATGCCCTGGGACATGTGGGAAGTGTGGCTGTGATTTGATGAGGATTTTCCTTGCTTCCCTTTCTTTTTGTTCCCATTACTTTTCTCTCGTAAATGGTTAACTGCAAGACTGGTGGGTCAAGCCAGCCCAGAGACACACTGGTAGAAAGGCCCGGCGATCTAATTCCAGAAGAGCTGCCGTCAACAACCCTGTGGAGTACGTTCTACCCTGACCTGAAATCATGTTGCCAGCCAGTCTTTCTCTCACCATGGCCCGTACACATTCCTTTCCTATAGACACACACCCGCCACGAAAGCATAACTTCTGCCTACTGCTTTCCCTCCGTGCCTAACACAGGGAGGGGCCGAAAAAGCTGAGAGCTCGGGAGATGTTTGGGAAGAACAGACCAGAAAACCAGCTGCGTCCAGGCCATTCCAACTCTGGGAGACCCTGGAGGTGCCGTTGTAAAACTGTACTCCTTAGGCATCACAGTCGCTGACCTTTTGAGGAATCCTTGTGGCGTAGTGGTTATGTGTGAGGCTTCTAACTGCAAGGTCTGCAGTTCAAAACCACCCGCTGCCGTAACAGTTACAGTCTTGGAAACTCACAAGGGAAGTTGTACCCTGTCCTGTACTATGAGTTGTATTGACTCCATGGAAGTGACTTGGTTTAGTTTGGGGGGGACTCTTTTGGGCGGGAAGTAAATCAGTAGGCCCTTTGAAGAACCTCTGGGTGAACTCCAGCCACCAGCTTTTGGCTTAGCAGCCAAGCCCACGAATCGCGTGCACCCAAGAACTCAGAGACTGTTCTCTGTCAGCCCAGTGCCCAGCACAGGAAGTGCTAAATAAATCCCAAAGCTTACTCCAAAGGAAGATCCAACCCAGGGTCACTTTCGCCTTAAGCAGAGGGAGGGAGTTCCCAGTGGGCCGGGAAGGAGCACAGAGTAAGGAAGGAAGCCCAAGTTTCTGCTCCGGATTTGATTTTTCAGGTGTATGACCTTGGACAGATGACCTTGTTTGGATAAAACAAGAAACTGGGGCCAAGGAAATGCTTCTTCATTTTTGTTTGTTTTAATATTTGGAATATTTTAAAGTTGGCTGTAAGCTAGTACATCCTTCTCACATCTGCAAGTGCCCGGGTGTTGGACCACAGAGAGCAATTTAGCACTGGATCAGATCACATTTAGCAAACTCCAGCTCTGCCCAGCGTACAACACCATCCTGCGGTCTTCTGCTGAGCGGCTCACTTGAGTTCTCCAGATCACTCACTGTCCACCCCCGGATTTCATGGGTCATAACTAACCTTGACTGTGTGTTGGACAATGTTTGCTTGCCTGGTCGTACCAGTTTCCTTTCTTTTAGGGAGAAAGATGCCTCTCTGGTTTTTACATAGTCAACAAGTTACTTCTGCACATTGACGGTACAAAGCTTTGTCCGTAAATGCTAACGCAGCGTAAAAACCACCTGAGGGGCAGCAGAGAGCTGGCGGGAAATAGTTTGTTCTGGATGGCAGTTGTGTGTGGATGTGTCTGGGTGTTTCATGTTTGTCTTGTTTGTCCTGTCCCACCACAAGTTCCTGGAGGACAGACACTGTATCCTGCTCACCACTCTGTCCCCAAGTCTACCCCAGGGTCCAAGACAAATGGGTCTAAGGCAGCGGGTTTTCGACCTGTGGATCGCAACCCCTTTGGGGGGTTGAGCGACCCTTTCACAGGGGTCACCCGATTTATAACAGTTATGAAGTAGCAACGAATATAATTTTATGGTTGGGGGTCACCACAACATGAGGGTGCAGGCATTAAGAAGGTTGAGAACCACTAAGGCATTTTGAAGAACCAGCTCCTGAAACCACCTTTGAACTCCATTCCTGGGCAGGTTCAAGGCCGGTCTTTTATGATTGCAAAGTATTGCCTTAAGCACACACACACAAAAATGTTTTTAAACTTTATGGCCACTCTCAAGCACTGAGCCTCAAAGATGGGAACTTTATCACATTCATCTTACTTGGTTTGCCCATTGCCTTACAATACACCAAGCAATGATAGGTGAACAGTCTGTAGATATGTAAGTGGCCTGACAAGTTCAAGACAGCACCTGGTCATGCTCGCTCTGTACATTTCCAGTCAAATGAGTAAACATCCTGGGGAGCACACATGAGAAGCTAACCAAGCTAGCATCGCTAACCAAGATGAGAGGCTGTTTGCTGCTGTTTGTTGGCATCAAGTCAGATCCGATTCATAGCGACCCTATGTCCAAGGGAACGAAACACCACCTGGCCGGCACCTGCTTCCCATTGTTCTGATGCTGAAGCGGGCAGTGCAAGTCAAACAGTGGATGCACCAGAGACAGGGGGCAGGGGGCTCCCATAAAGACTGCAGCCTTGGGAACCCCGTGGGTAGTTCCACTCTGTCCTATAGGGTCACTGCAAATCGGAGTAGTTTTCTTTGGGGCTTGGGGAGTCCATCTATCACAGACCAAATATAGTCACCCATCTTTTCCTAAAAGGAGAGTGTGGATCAGTCCTTGGGGAAAGACACTGTGTCTGCTAAAGCAGAGGGGCAACAACAGCAAAGGAGGCCCCTCAACAAAATGGATTGAAGCAGGGCCCCAGCAGTGAGAGGGCTCGTGGGATCCAGAAATGTTTCCTTCTGTTGCATAAAGCTTGCTGGAAGTCAGCAGACCTGGAGGGTGGGGGTGGGATGGGGGTGGGAATAGGGGTGCAGGTGGGGGGAGCGGTTGCCCTGAACGACAGCCACCACATGGGCAGCACACCCTTGCTGATCAACAAATGCCAACGTTACTCAGTCGCATGAGTCAGTGATCTGCATGGAAGGGTTTTGTTTTAACTCCTGCCCAATGGGGTCGATCGGCTTGACAAAACTGGAATCCAGGAGAGAGAAAGGAGACTGCAGCGATCGATCAATCGATCGATCGCCCACCTCAGGGAGCCAGGCATTGAAGATTGCCTGGAAACAAGCAATGGGCGGAATGTGGAAAGGAAACGACACCATTGGTGTCTCTAGAAATTCTAAAGGCAACCCTTCTGCGAGCTCATCAAAGCTCCTGGTCGCCCAAACTCCGCATCTCCCTCTCCTTCTCCCCTCTGGGCGAAAGTCATGTTAAAAGAAGACCGGGAAAATGGTTCTGGGCTTTTTTCTTTCTGTTCTTTTTGCTCCCTAAACCTCAACTCCGGTTCTGAAATGGAGCGTGGGTCTAGGAAAGAGGAAAGGGCGAGGAGCGGCCACCCCCTGGGTGGACAGGCCGCGGGCTGAGGCTGTAGGAACCTGGGCGCAGCGTCCACTCACTGATGTAGAGCCACAGCAGCGTCCAGGCTGTGACCGCTAGGATGAACAAAAGCACCGTGAAGAGAACGATTTTGTTTTGCACGTTCCAAAAGGGAGCTTTCTTCTTCGGCGGCTGCCTCTTGAACTTGGCATTGTGGAGAGGCTTTCTGGGCGGTCTTCTTCCCGGCAGCTTTCCTGGGGCGCTGACCACCTGGACTGAAATATTGGATATCTTAAACAAAAACAAATAAAAAGGGAGATCGTCTCAATGAGAGGTAGTCCAGAGTTTAAGGACTATTAACCCCCAAGGTGCTGGCAGTTTGAAACTGCCCAGGGGTGACACCGAGGAAGAGACAGCCCAGGAATGAGCAGGGCAGTTCTGCCCCGTGCCACCTGGGGCCTCTGGGAGTCAGAGTCAGGGCCACAGTAACTGGTAACAACTACCGAGTGGAAATGGAGCTACCCAGTCAGGAGAAGGGAGCCGGGTGCTAAAAGGCCTAAAGATATTACTGTACGTTGTTTATGTATTTGGACCTTTTATAGAACTAGAGAGGAGAGAGATCATATTTAGGCTATAGATATAGCCATCAAGTTGATTCTGATTCTGATTCATAAGGACGTGTGTGTGTGTGTGTGTGTGTGTGTTTAATAAACCAACAAACAAGCTCACGGGCTATCAAGTCAATGCTGACTCATAGTGAGCCCATAGGACAGGGTAGTACTATCCCTGTGAGTTTCTGAGACTGTAACTCTCTACAGAGGGAGGAAGCCCCATCTTTGTCCCACAGAGTGGCTGATGGTTTCAGACTACTGA